GACCAATTTGGAACGTTTTTTATGGTGGATTAACTCTCAGTTTACGCGTTAATACAGTGCTGATTTAAATTATCCGGACAAAACGAACGAAACTTGAATTTTCGAACGCGTTTTTCTTAAATTGGGTTAAGATTAGACAAAAAGTGAAGAGGAGAAAAGTTGCTTAGAGTTTCACCAGAATTAATATGGTGCCATTTTTTCTCCGAAATTCTCAACAAACATTTTACCCCAAAAATAGGTTATTTTTTCTTTTTTCAATTAATCAACAGTTACGCTGAAACTACTTTGTTAATTGATAAAAAAAATATATCACAGGAAGCTTCCTACGCAGTTCAACAAAGTTTAACGAGGGTTAAATCTTCGAAAACCAGTAAAAGAGAAACAATTTTCACCTGATAGTCAATAAATGTGATTTTTACCATATAAAACCCAGAATCTTTGTTTCAAAATAAATTTTAAGCAATTTGCGCAAATTTTTGGAGAGTTGACCCTTCTTAAACTTTGTTGAGCTGCGTAAGAAGCTTCCTGAGATATAATTTCCATATCAATTAACGAAGTAGTTTCAGCGTATTTTTTGATTAATTGAAGAAAGCTAAAATAACATATTTTTTGGGTAAAATTTTTATTGCGAATTTCGGGGAAAAAATAACACCATCTTAATTCTGGTAAAATTCTAAGCAACTTTTGTCCTCTTCACTTTTTGTCTAATCTTAACCCAATTTTAGAAAAACGCGTTCGAAAATTCAAGTTTCGTTCGTTTTGTCCGGATAATTTAAATCAGCGCTGTAGCGCGAAATATATCGCGCGTTAATTGTCCCAAATTGGCCAAAATGGCAATCTTTAAACCCCCGTAACTTTACGAAAAACAATCACAGGTAAAATATCTTTTCAAATTTGAGCTCAGGACAGCAATACCTTTCGAATGATATAAAAAAATTCCGTCAAAAATGGCTAGTTAAAAAGTCGAAATTTGTCTGAAGAAAAAAAAACCCACCCCGAGCACAAATATTCCGTTACTTTCGTATCGAAAGTCGGAACAATAACACATTAGCAGTTTTCAATGAGAAACTGATTTGCTCATGTCAGTCCTTCCGTCGTTGTTAAAAAGTATGCTTCTAAAGTTTCTAAAGGTCCCGATTGAGCTAAGATATAGTATTGATTACTGACACGAGTGGCCTCTCTACAATAAAACAAACATAGTTATCCCAGAGAGATCTCAATTTCATTTTTCTGTCCTTCAACTGCAAAAACTGATGACACAATTATTATAGTTATCTGAGAAAATCGAACGAACCTTCTATAATTTTTTTGAGCTGACATACTATTAGTTTTATCTCAATGATCTGTTATATACGGAATTCGCACAAAATTTTGAAAAATGCCAAAACTGCCAAAATAGTTTTCATGGTCGTGATTTGTTGATATGAACGAAAATTCAGCAGGCACAATTGTCGTATGAAATAATCCTTGTTTAGATTTGTTATAGTACCATTTGAATCAAGCATTTTTAAAAGAAGTTTCATGCGAGCATAGAGCCCGGTCCATGCACTTATTCTGTGGAAAAAAGTCAGACATATCAATTTCATACAATTTTTCAAAATCAATGATAATATTTTATATATTCATCAAGTAATAGCTAAAGGTCTGTTTTTGTGTTACTTTCAGTTCTTCCAAGCTCAAATGGCTAACGATTGAATCTCAATTGTCTCACGCTACTCAAAAGTAGATTTTTTTCTCATTTTTGCGCAAGTTTATCCTGTTATTTAATACGTTTTTTTTCCAGTAATTTTAGGTGCTCAAACCTTTCTCTGCTACGTTCGCAACTACTTGTTACCGTTATATAAATTCTTTGTTTTCAACTTCATATTTTTGCTCGCCATCTACGCAAAATCTTGAAGCGTTTCTCATCTAAACACAGATTTTTTTGTTGCATTTTGAAAAAAATTGATGCCTTCAGTTCAATTATAAAACAATTTTGTGCTTCAAAACTGGAAAATGAAATATAAGTTTTTTTTTGTTAAATTTTGGGGTATGAAAATTGCCAACCAAACTAGAATTAATTTCGATCATTAATTAGTTCGATGTTCATAGGTTTCTAAAACGTAGCTAAAAAGCAAAAACTGCTTTTGATCTGCGAGTAATGGAACCGGATCTTACTTCGAAGTTTCCAAAACATGAACTGGAGCTTCAAATTTTGCCTGGCCCCCGTGATGATTTATTCGAAATTGAAAAGAAGGACAGCAGCGATAACTTTCAAATTCAGGAGATCAAAAAAATTGGCTTAGCAGGATTTTTTTTGAAACAGCTGCCAGAAGAAGAGAGTGCAATCGAAGACTATGATTTGAACCGAACTGTCAGCTATCAAAAAGCCTTCCCAGTGGCAAACATCTTCATTCCAACAATTAAAGATGCGTACATTGACCGTATAATTGCAATCAAGCAAATCGGCAAAATAAACGTCGAAGAAATTAAAAAGAGCATTTCTGACCAAGCGAACAAAATTGAAACCAAAATTCAAAAACTAAGCCCTGAGGGTGCCCAACTGTCAGCAAAAATACCGATTATATTCGCTCTTTGTGCAAAGACTAAACAAAGTGCACCTGAAGTTGAGAAGCTACGTAATGACCTAAATAATTATTTCGAGAAAACTGTGTCAGAAATTAGGCCAATTTTGCAAATTAGGGTAGTTTGTGTCTCAAATAACTCCAAAGAAATAACTCGTCAAAGTTTATTTGAATCAGTGGAATGCTGCAAAGATCCAAAGGGTCGAGGACAAAATCCTCCCAACCCCCCTAACCCATTACTCATGTCCCTGATTCTTAATGTTCCAGACGTTGAGACCCGATTTGAGATAACCCGAAGAATGTTCAGAATCCCCCCAAAGAATGAACCGGAAACGGGCACTGAACCGGAAACACAAATCACGTTGAGAAACGTGAATGGTGTACTGAGTCTGTTTAGAGCGTATTTCCCACAAATAGAAGGCTGCTTGGAAACATTGCCGGAGTTCAACAGAATACGTCAAGATTTTCTCCACTATTTGCCCGAATGGGAAAAACAAAACAACTTGAATGGCACCAAAAATGACAACTCTAATGACAAGAGCAAACCACAAATCAATCTCTATTTAGGAGAAGTAAAGGACTTCCGGGAAAAAGTAGTCTCTTCACTGGACTGTCCTAGAGGTCTGTTGATTCATGGATACAAGAGGCAACATCTAAACCAAGTACTCAGGCAGCCTTTTAACTGTGACTTCGAGTTTGACTGGCTATTAGTTGGCAACGGATTGCTTACAATTTTCGAAGTGGGTCGCAGTGATAACCCAGAGTTACCAAAATCTGCTGTTGAGAATAAACTGGCTCATGATAAAGTTCTCAAGGCAGTTACCAAAATGCAAAACATAGTTTTCTCAATCCTAAAGGAAGTCGCGGATCATTTACCCGATACTGAGCTGAAAAACATAGCGCAAAAATCTGTTAGATTTGTGGTCGTTTTTCCCAACACAACAAAAGCAGCTATTCAGGCGTTGATTGACGAGAAAAAGATCAAGGCAGAAAAATTAACAACCGTGAAAAACAATCGAACCTTGATATTGACTGCAGATTTTGACCAAGTCGAATTAGAGAGCAATACTTACTGTAGCAATGGTAAGCTTAAGTTGTTCGAACTAAGTGCAGACTTTCAGCTCATGCTGTCAGGAATAACCACTGATGATTTATTTAGCTCTGAAGCTGCGCTATATCTGGATTTTAATGAGGAACATAAGAAGTTGATCAGTTACGTTGCAGCTATTTTGTCGCTTTCAGTATTACTGAACCCTACAACGAGTGGCAACGATCCGACTAGCTGTGACACATCCAATCAGCTTTCCGCACAGAGTTGGTACCTCGACCCACCCGATACGCGCCCCCTAAATGTTGAAGAACGGTTGATTTCGAGAGTAGCAGCCAAGAAAGATCAGCATAGACTGACACAACTAGAGATCATTCTCAGTCCCCAGCAACGTAGTTTACTCGATGAAAACCCCGACCGAATTTGTTTGATTGGAGAACCAGGTACAGGAAAAACTTCGGTTTTGATGATGAAGGCCTTTGATGCTGCATTGCACAACGAAAACGTCAAATATGTAATTATAAGCTTCCCATCAGAAAAAACTGATTTCAAAGAATTTATCGTCAAGTTCTTCGAGAATCAAAATGTTCCAGACGAAGCAAAAAACAAATTCAGATTTCTCTCTATAGAGGAATTAGCAAGCATTGTCGAATCCCAGAATTTGTGCAAAATTTTGAACGAAGTGACGAAAAAAGTTCTGCTTGTTGTCAACCCAGAGCAAGGTTATCTCTCAAGATATAATCTAAATTTTCAACGCCAAATTGATCAGAATCAGCACCAAATAAACAAAGCTTACTTTGATTTGAACCTCACAAAAAAAAACAAAAAAAAAATAGCACAGAATGTTCCGCCCATAGTCTTTAAGAAATACAAAAAAATTTCGTTTTCAAATTAGTGTCAGCGTGGTGAGGCAGGGGCGGATTTGGAAGGGAGAGGCCCTTCCCCCCCCCCCCCCCCTCAGGGATTCGAATCCCCGCCAACACAAAGGGTCCCCCTTTGGTACTTTTTAAGAGATCCATTTTTGGCCGACCGACCCTAAAATTTTTCTAAAGGCGGCCAAAACAGGGTATTTTTACTGCTTTGGGAGAGCTCGAAAAATCAATCTGATCGACAAAAAAAGGTCGTCAAAATTTTCGAAAATTTTTTGAAAATCCGCCACCCCTCCAGAAAATCCTAAATCCGCCCCTGTGGTGAGGTAAAAGGATTGGAACAAGATTAGGCATATTCAACAGTCATAGTAAAATAAGCAAATTTAAAAAAAGTGTATAGAAAAATGACTAGAAAAGCGAAAAAAAATCACAAAAAGTTCGCTAAAATACCCAAAAAATCTGGCTTTAAACGAGTAAAAGTAAGTTTTTGCGAATTAAATTAATGCATTCAAAGTATTTAACTTATTAAAATAAGCTATTATAAGTTTAAATCGCTCGCTTTTTTGGCTCATTCAACCCATTCCAATGATTATTTGTGGTACCTGGTTTTGTGTGGAAAACAAAAAGAAAAAAAGAAAATAAAACAAAATACACCCGATTACAAAGTTCCATTTTCAAATGATCGAAACAAGAATTGTACTCAAATCTTTTTTCGGAATAAACTAAATTGTATCAAAAGAATTTTTAAGCCATTAATTAATTTTTTAATCATTTTTGTTAATCGTGATATTAATTTATACAAACATAACTTATGCACGGCGTACTGAATTCATACAGGGTCTGTAGAACAAAACCATAATTTGTTTCACAGACTTTAATCTCAACAATATTACCTTTCTGAGGTGAAATCTTAGCTGAATATTGATGTTTTCTAATTTTAAAAAACTATCAGATGTAGAACCGGCTCTTTGCTAGCAACTAGCAAAGCGCGAAAATTAAAATCCCGAAAAATTTCACAAAACTGTTTAGAAAACAATGCCTTACTTACTAATTGGGTTGGTTTTTTACTGACAACTTGTGAATAAAATTATTTCTGTTGTGGCTAGTTAAAAACGACATCAGCCGAATTTATAGTTGATGGGGTTGTTCAACTCTTGTAAGGATTAGTTAAACGGGATTGAATGGAGAATATTCAGGCTACTCCAAAAACTCAGTATTTTGCACGTGGTGATTTTAAACTGATGCCTTTAGGTGTACAGCAAACTTTATAGTACTTAAGTGCCGTAGGTTTAGCCATCAGATGTAATCTATTTTTATTTTCAAGTTGAAAAAAAAATCAGTTTTTTTTTCAAAACCGCATCGAAAAATTTGACTCTTTGAGTTCAAGTACAACTATATTTTACCTCCGATCGTTGTTTTTTATTTTCTGGGGATTTTCAAAAACCCAGTTTGGCCTTGCTCTGGACTAATTTATGCGCCCTGTATGGATTATGACGACGAAAAGTAACATTATTTCTTCATGCTTGACCATTTATGCCGCTCTAAACAAATGTTCTAAATTGAGTTGAGGTAAGCTAGTTGACCGTATTTATTTGTTTTCATTTTAAAATTTCCTTCTTGATGAGGAAAATTGTCCAGAAGTTATAGTTTTTCAAAAGTAATTTTTGTACCAACAATTATTCGAAAGTGATTTATGGGCAGTAGAAACATTCACGGTTTCGCCTTGATATACGAGCACTTTTTTTATTCATAAACTTTCTCAAACTATAAAAGTTCCGTTTGAGAAAGTTTATGAATAAAAAAGTGTGGGGATCGAATCTTAAGTCCCAGGCTGACCATCCTACAAAAATACCCTCCCGTAGAACTTCTCATAAGATTTGTTGGTAGTTTCCGCTAACTTGCAATTTTTTCAACTATGAAAAAGTTTGAACTTTGATTTAGTTAGCCACCATTTTCAGGACTTACTGTAAAGTGACGAACAATAAAGTGGGCTGTTTACCTAAGTACAGCAGTTTAGAATCACCACAAGCAAAATTTTGGCAAGCAGCAACTAGCTTAAAAAATATCAAAAATTTCCGAAAAGTAAGAAATAAAAAAACGCCAAAAAATTACTTTGAATGTGTTTTTATACTGTAATAAAATTTGAAAATCACTTTGGGAAACTTTCTCTTTCACTTCAAGTTTATGCAAATGAGAATTTTCAGACAGTGGTTATAATGTATTTCATAATAAAAATTTGTTTGTCATATAGCTGTGGACGTGTTGCATGTGAGCTTAAGTTATAGACCGACAAAGTTTCTTGAAAAAAGCAAAAAAAATTAGCTCTATGAATTTAGTGGAATTTTGGGTCTACGGGTTTCAGTTATTGTACTCTGCAACAGCGGAGAACTATGAAACTGGTTGTAAAATTTGTCCACAAAAAAAACGAAAAAAAACATTGACGATGTTTTTGTACGAAAAATCACCATCACGCAAATTTCACATGAGAAATTCTTATATTGTAACATTCTAAGAGACTAATATTGGATAAAAGTTTCCGAGTGGGCGTACAACTCACTATTATAACTGCGCTTTGATTGCTCGTTTTTTACTTTGTAGATTTTATCTAGGGCGCTGAAACTGCTACACGACCCATCATACAGCGCACCAAAAATTCTAAATTTTTTTAATTGTTTTTTTTTCACAAAATTTTTTGCAAACCAATTAAAAATCAGTCGAAAAATTCAGGACTTTGACCGGATCTACGAGCAGTCTTGTTTAGTAAGGTTGTAGTTTGTTCAAGTCGTTTTGACGTATGTTAAATTTCTGATGAAATTAATCAAAGAGTTTTTACATCTTGCCACGAGCTCAAAGCAAAATCAATTTGGTTTAGTTTTTTTTTGTTCAGTTTGGCATTGAAAAATTCTACAAAACCTTTAAAAAAACCACAGTATTGCCTGTTAAGATGAAACTTGGTTGTACCCTACACAGCGGTTGTTGTCTCGTTTCTAAGAGTTTTTCAAAGCGCTACTTTTTTCAAAGTACTTTTCTTTACGTTTCGCTAAGTCCGATTCGTTTTTAACGTACTAAATGCCCTACATTTTTGTGAGAAATTCACTTTCAAATTGAAAGCTAGTGGGGTCTAAAACTTCCATTGCTTAATAGAAAAACCGATATTTTAGCTCATAATTTGATGTAAGATCACTAAACTTAACTTGTAGTATACATTAAGTGCTCGTAGTTTTCAATTTTATAATTTAAAAACTTATTTCGTCACCATTTATTGCGCTCATTTTTAAAAACAAACCCACCGGTGATGGCTCCTTGGTACACTCAACAAGTGACCATAGCATACAAAGTTTCCGGAAAAAATATTCACTCAACAGCCTCTGAACGACCCGTAAACACGAAAAATTCATAATCGACGAAAGAATGAAACACAATTTTTTTTCCAAAAGTTGAAGAAAGCTTGAAAAAAATGCATTGACTCTGTATTGTGCTAAGTCGGGAAGGGGAAAAGGGAATGGGCTGGGGGCACTACCACCCCTCTTTCAATTCATGTTGCCAAATTTTTTCATAAATGGTCCACCCTTTGTTATAATTTTACGTTACTATTTTTTGGCTCGCCAGTCCCAAAAGTTTTTTTGAAGCGCCTTCAACTTCAAAATAACTAATTTTGAAAGAAGAGCGGGCGCCAAAAATCGCAATTTGTTGGTCAAAAAGTTTCAAAAATGCCTAAAAATCCCTTTTTTGGCCTGTTTTTTGAAAATTTTGCCTGCGGCGTAGAATATTGTCTTTTTTTTTTACAAAATAGGGTCGCCGCATCCAGTTTCAAGCGCTAAAAATTATTTAGGTTATGATTTTACTACCAATCTTACTAAAACTGAGAAAGAAACTTGAGTTGAATCATTTAAAAATCTATTAAATCCTAATTTTTCTAAGAATCGAATTGTAATAAATTATAATACAGTTTAATAAATTTTAATCGAGTCCTAAAATATTTATTTTTTGATACAATTATAATTGAATATTTTCCACCCTATTTCTAAGTTACATGGTGTGCACAAAAAGTTCATTATAAGTGATTAGAATCGATTGTAATCCCTTTTTTGTCCATTTTGTTTTTGACCTTTTCATCTGAACTGCTTATCTTTTATGCATTTTGTAGTCGTTGGCTTATAATAAAAAGAACAAAATTGCTGTAAGAGTGTAGCAGTTCATAATTTATAAAGTTTTTTTTCTCGGTAAGATTTATTTGATGACACCCATTTTAGGTTTTTAACCACCAAACTATCAGCACATTGCTTTAGCTTCATTATTTTTTCGAAGAGTTAATTTTCAAGTACCGCGGGAACCTTTCAATCATTTATTCATGCTCTAATGTGGAAGCTTGACAATGATTAAGCTCAGAGTTCATCTAAAATTCTTGAGTTCTGATATTTTTTAAAAAGTCCGAGCAATATTAACAAACTTCCCGTTTTGATTTTTTAAACAGTTTTAAAAGTATTTAAATAAAATGAAGTGGGAAATCCAAGGCACCATAACATAATTACAATAGCGGCAGGTTTGTCTTGCTTTAGGCTTGCTCTCTCAAAAAAATAAAAATTTTGCTGGAGCTGAATAGATAAGATATCTTTAGCTACTGCTGATTCAGATACAAAATTCTTTGTCAACTTCTCGGCCTTTGGCGCCGACTCATCGTAACTTGTGCCTTCCTGCGCACAAGAAAATGATTCAGATAGTAGTTGGGTTCAAATTGAAAAAACTGCCGGGGCGTAAGCGGTTCTAGCGAAGGAAACGTTGACTAAGTCACATGAAAATTTTTCTGATACCTGTAATTCAAGGTACTGTACGTAGACATTCTCTTCTCCAATTCAATTTTGTTTTGACATGTTATTACTGCTCCCAGGAGCTTAAAAGGCAGTCAAAACATTTAGGGTTTTGCCCTGATACGAGTAGTCTTGTTATCATTTTATTTTCTTTTAATACTTTCATTTGTTAAGACAAAACACTGTTTTTGTGATAAAAAGTAAGTGCTTTAATTTTGCTGTCAAAATTTTGGACCACGAGTTTGAACCGTAGTAAAAAGAAAGGGTTCATTTTAATTTTATTCATATGGCGACTTTTTTGGGAGATTTTAGACCCAGACTTTTTACCCAAAGTGTTTGAACCTCGTTAACCATTTGCTTTCAAAAAAAATGCCAAAAAGTTTTTAAAAAAATAGTCAAAACAGACTTTTTAACAAAATAGAGATCTCTCGACCAAAACGCTTGAAATTTTATTCTGTTATAAGCAAATCCAAAAAAACCCAGTGATTAAACTTATTGGGAGCTCCGACAAGCTCAGGTTTACTCCAAGTGGCTGAAAAGATTTTGACTTAAATTATACCACACCCGCTATGTCTACTCGAAAACCTTTTTGAAGTTAAAAAAAAACGGCAGCGTCCGTTTCTGATTTAAAGTCATGAGTGGTTTTTTGCCGTTGCAAGCTCGCTGAATCACGAGCTAGAAAAGCTACGCGCTTCACTCCGTAAACAACTTGTTGTTACTTA